CCCCAAAACCCCAAAACCCCAAAACCCCAAAACCCCTAAATCATATCCTCATGTTGATAAATATTTTCATAAATGGAATCTTACGTTGAATGAGAAGTATGAAACTGCCAGATTCGAGAAGGTATGAGGTATTGTGATATCCATGCTTACGAGGAATTTGACAGACACACTACAGCACTGATACAAGAGGGGTTACAAAATTGGAGAGAGAAGTTTCAATCACACTTGGACTCTAAGTGTTCGAATGCAACAAGGTAAAACAGATTTGAACCATTCATGAATTCGGGTCTGAATTTTCCATTTTGCAATTCAAAATCATCTTAGACTAGAAGTGTAGTTATATAGGTTTAGTTCCGGCACCACTGATCAAGCAGAAAAAGCCCTGCTCAAATGTGAGAAAAACCTGGACGAGAAGACATTTGTCAATGCTTATTCAAAGATTTACTGTAAGGTCCATTGCTGGAGAGATCATAACTATTACCCTGATAACCAAGGCCGGTATCATAAGTGGTATTTCTCCAAGTTCAACAAGTTGATGCTTCCTAGAATTAGTGATATTGCTATATGTAAACACAAGTCTTGGAGAAAGAAAGAAGTATCACAATATTTCTCTCCATTGAAACATGCACTTCAAAGTGTCCAAATTTGAGTGAGCAAAGACAAAAAGCAGAAAATTGGATGGCTACACTCCATTGTGACAAAAATATCAACTACTTTTGATAGAGTTATTCTGTATCGTTTCTCAATGTCTCAGAGCCAATTCCTCCGGATCGTATTGGCTTTAGGCAAAGTCAAGCATCAACATTTCTGTGATGGTATAATTACAGACAAGATAAGGTCTCATTTAGCGACTCCATCAATTGACAGCACCAAGAGAGAAACAAATACTCAAGAAATTTTGGTAATTAGATTTACCTTCCAAGGTAACCCAAAGTCTGTTACAGTAATTAGTATTGAAATAAAATTGATTCTTGTTTCATCTTCTTACACTAAACATCATGCTGATCCTTCAATATAGTTGATGAAAACAATCTTAAAAAAGTTACCAAAGAATTTTACCCAAAGGCCATGATAAAATTTAGAAATCAATAAAACTTCAACCACCACCAAACACTTCGGGGTTTTGGGGTTTTGGGGTTTTGGGGTTTTGGGG